CTTGGCCTCTCCCAGCAGGGGGTGCTGTGGGGAGGGGCAGGGCACTGGTTGTGGGCGGTGGCAAGTTTCCAGCCTCAGCCTCTCCCAGCAGGGGGTGCTGTGAGGGGAGGCAGCCCCAGCAGCAGGGCAAGACATAAGCCCTGGCTGGTCAGTGTAAGCTACACAACGGGAACAGCCCTGGCTGGTTTTAGAGCCAGCTGACACAGGGACTGCAGCCAGGGGGGAGAGGAGGCCGGTACCTTGGTCGTCCTTCTCCGCTCTCTCGAAGAGGGCAAACTTGCGGGGGTTGTCCACCACCATGAACTTCCTGAGCAGGGCCTCGATGACCTCGCTGGCACGGGTGCGGGAGATGATGTGCAGGTGCTTGACCGTGTCCTTGGGCAGGTAGAAGGACGTGCGGCGCTTCACTGCCTGGGACCGCGGCGCCTTCTTCATGTCCTGGATGGAGGGCGGCTTCTTGCTGGCTGGCACTGAGACTGGCCGGATTAGCTTCAACTGCAGCTTGATGAAGCCAGTGTAGGAGCCATCCTTGTTCTGGGAGGAGGCAGAGAGAGAATGAGCTGGGCAGAGCCTGGGAGTGGGGCAGGAAAATGGGGCAGCGAACTTGGAATGGGCGCAGTCCCTGGGAGCAGGGAAGACCCGGAGTGGGATCCCTGGAATGGGCTCTGGGTGCAGCCCCCAGAAGCAGGGAAGACCTGGAGTGGGATCCCTGGAATGGGCTCTGGGTGCAGCCCCCAGAAGCAAGGAAGACCCGGAGTTGGATCCCTGGGCCCAGCCCCTTGCTACGAGCTCCCTGCCCTGCCCTGGCTCCCAGGCCTCACCAGGCTCATGAAGAGGTTGCTGTTGATCTGGCTGTTGTATTCCTTTATCTTCTGCTCGATCTCGGCCTGGCTGAGAACCGGCTTCTCCCAGTCAATCTGCTCATCCTGAAGGGGCGAGAAGCGGGGGGTTAGCCCACTTCCCTGGGCAGCTGGGGCGCTCAGGCCATCCCTCCCTGCCCTCCCAAGTGCATCTCAGCCGGGCCACGGGTGCGGAGGCGACTGGCC